AGGAAGCAATACAGGATATGTTTGCTAAGATACAAGACAAATAAAAACCACGATGATTAATAAAATTTAGTAGACAGTTGTAACAATAGGAAGCTTGATCGTCATTGGGTACTCTACACTTGTAGCTTTCAACCAGACTAAAATAACAGTCCCAAAATATGGTATCAAAAATTAAATAAATTAGACAAATAAAAATATTATAAAGTTTTTTTTTTTTTAATTATGTATGTCCAAAGTCCAGTTTGGGGGCCAATTATGGCCTGCAGTCAAATTTCACATGGCCCCCATGTTCTGTCATAGAATGTATCATTTATGGCCTGCCAGTATTGTTAATTAGAGTACGTAAGGTACACACCTAAGAAATGCAATTTCATATTTTACCAAAAGATGGCAGCAGTAGCACTGTGTGGCTGCCCTCTGGCAGTGTGACCCTAACCATGGCATTTTCTAGCCAATTTCTAAAACCACTGCCTTTGAAACAGACCTGGGTTACATATTGCAGTCCAGATCTCAGTATCACTTTTCACATTAGTTCAGGCTAGTTATTTGTTTTGGTCATCTGAGATGAATAAATTCTAAATTCTTACTGAATTAAATTTGTTTTGTGTTGGTCAAAATCAGTTATAAATGTGGTTGGACATTTGGACTTGTATGAGTTTATGTTTTCTACCTTTTAATAAGATGAATGTTGGTGTTATGTTCTTATTCATATGTTTATAACTTAAAAGTTGACAAACATTAATTGCCAATAATATGTAATGTTTAAGTTTAACCTGAGATACATTAAAGGCTCCTTAAAGTTCTTTTTCCTCCGTTCTTCATCTTATTCAGGCTTCAGATATAAGAGGCTGAGTGATTTTGATAAGACCTATTTAAATTTATTTGGCATCCATGTGAAGAAATGAAAATATGCCATTTGCAATTAAATTTTCATTAAGATAGTTCCTTTGCATTTAATTCTAAAGGTTCAAAGAATGTCAAGCAGAATGGTTGGCCTTCATGCATATTCAATCTCATTAAATCTGGCCCTCTTTGAAAAAAAGTTTGAGCACCCCTGTTTTAAATCATTTACAGTAATTTTCTTAACCCATAGAATTAATGGATAAGTGACAAAGAAAATAATGTGAAGTTTTACTTGGATTATATCATCTAAACAATGTGTGACCAGTCACATCTGTACAATTACCATAACATAATGGTAAGCAAGTTTATCTTCCAAATCAATTTGCTAGTGAACTGGTACATATATTTACCAAGGGTGCATCTATACTACCAATAATGTTTTCAAAATGATACAGAATGAAAACAAATACATGACAAGTTGAAATTTCATGAAATATTTATTCCATAAGACAGAATAAAATAAAAATCTGCCCACAGAAAAAAATCTACAGCCAAACCTACTGCTACCATGGCTTCAACTCTACTGAGTTGAGGCCATGATAACAGTAGGATTCAATCCTTATGAATACACCATTAGTATGTATCTTATGCCAGACTAAAGTGTTTAATGAATAATTTGCCACATTAAAAACTAGTATTCTATTTTTCCTAAAAAAATTTATGTCCTTTGTTGCATGTTTATAGCATGTGCTTTCATAGGAGAAACAGATGTAATTTTGAAAAGTACTCAATTAAAAAAATAATTATTAAAAAGGATGTGTAGTTAGTGTAACAGACATTGATGTAGAAAAGACAATCGGTGAGTGAAGTTCAAATTCTGGGCAAGTATATTGCATTCACTTTCACACAAATCCATCTCTTCTAATACCCTACCCCACCTATAAGTTAATTAGCTAAGTAGATTGAACTCTCTAACATTGGATGGCAGCCAGTCTAAGAGAAGAAAAGTTTAAGTGAGAGAAGACAATAGGAAACCACTCTCTACTATCATCCCCAAAAATGCATGCAAAATAATTTACATATAATAAAGGCTAAAGGAATCTGTGGAAATCTGGAGCGATATGACTTTGGTTAGTTGATTCGTTTTATACGGTTTATCAGGATATTTAAAGCCAAAAAATATCTAAGAAATTTTTTGAGATAGTAATAGTCTTACTAATTAAATTAATCCATATCGGGGGGAAAGATGTGGATTAATTAATACCTTTACCAAAGGTATTTGGGCGTAAGTGAACGAATACAATGGGAATTGGAACTCGGATCTCTGTGGGAGGACATTGCATTATGAATCCCGTTTGGGCATCAGATGTTGCTTCCATAACATTTTTCAACAGATGAAATTGAAATGCAAATATACATGACTGTGACAACGACATGAAGACAGAGAATACCCACAGTGATGATAGAAAACTCCTGTCAATGATTTTATTAATACGTTTTTTCAACTATTTATTCTTGAAAAAATATTTTCACTGGCGAATATAAAAACGCTGTCCTAGTAAACAGAAAGTTTAATGATTCTTTTTTGTAAAAATTGTATATAGAACGTGTAACATTTGGTTAAATAAAAATATTTTGTCAGTGAAAAAAAAAGAAAAGAAAAAACAGTAATTTTCAAAACAGAATGGAGCATTTTTAAGTTTTATAATAATATTCAATAAGTAATTTAGATAATTTCATAGTTACATATGCTTGGTGACTCATAACTGGAATGTAAACTTCATGATCATTAATCATAAAAAGAAAGGACCTCGTCAAAAAGCATTGCATGGGTCATCATCCGCCACTGCTGTCATATACTTTCTCATGCAAGAAAGAATGGCTATATGTGAAGAAATGATACACCGCACACGTAAGTGAATGATTGGTGTATGTGAGTGTATAACTGGAGAGTTGTTCATTAATTTCAATAAGCAGTTTATTCTGTGTTGTTTTAATTGCAATGCCTGCAAGTTCATCTTTAAATATAGTTGCCTAATTTTGGTTCTGATCAAACTAAAATGTGGATTCTAAAATCTAATTCCATGTTTTGTTCGTTTGAATTTTTAAACTTATTTAAAAAGCAAATTTTAATATTTTAAATTAAAAATACAAAAGAAATAGCTTAAAAAGTCTATAGTCTTAATTGAAAATGCAGTCATTTCTGAGATTAGTTTTAAACACCCACACAGTTTTACAACAAAAATGAAGTTAAAAACGCAATATCTCATTGCAAAGTGACATGAACAGCAAGAAATAGTCTAATTGACAAGAAAAATCATTTTATTTTCGCTTTTCATTATATTGATTATAACCTGATGTATTTTAATAAATTATTAGTTAAAAATTGAAAACATTAACCAATCATTAATTAATTTATGCACGACCGCGTTCGTTACGAAGCTTTATTTTCTAAAATTGAAAATGGTTTCTTGAATTACTAATAGTTGAAGTAAAATCATAAGAGAATAAGATTATTGAAATTAAAAATGAAAAGCAAAATGAAACTTGGGCAAAGAAAACACAAATCGAAGTAATGATTTTACTTTTCGAAATAGGGGTCATACCAAACCAAATGGATAAGATTACCATTGATACTGAAAAGTGAAAAAGCATAGCCGAAGCGATTGCTATGTATTGATAAGAAAAAAGAAAAACAAATAATGAAAAGGAAGAATATATTAACTAATCTCAAGACAAAATTTAAGGGTAAAAAATGAACTTGTTTAACGAAAATATTAAGGTAAATTAAATTAAAAAGTTTTACATGAAAGATTAGAAACAAGTGCGAGAATTCCGGGGGAAAAATGAATGAAATCTCTTTTTAAATGTTTTCAAATCCCACCCACGCAATTTTAAAAACCTGTAAAATACGCAACATAACCTTTTAAAAAGGTTTTGTTTTCAAATTTAGAATTTGTTTTTACACTTGATTGCGTCAAGTATAAAAATGAATTATTTAATAATGCAAGATTTCTTTCAGGAAGAAACGTTCACAAACGAACAAAGTTACCTTGTAACGCGTAAAAAACTTGTTTTTAACATTTAGGTGTATTTATTTTCAAAACTTCGAAGGGAAGTAAAAAAATGTTTAGAACATCTTTAAAAACTTGTTACGGTAAAACTCTGAAAGTAAAAATTGTAATAGTCAATCAAATTCAAATGACAATATTTTTGTTTTTATTACCAAAGCCGTTTAAAAACTAAAAGCACTCGTAACGATGAAAAAAATACATATACACAGGATTTGTTAATTAGTCATTTCTTCATTTAATCTTTAAAATATAATTTACTTTTAATTTTAAATGATTCAAACAAAACAGATTTGTTTCAAGTTTTTTTTTTAAGAAATTGGGTAAATTTTCTTAAGAGAATCGTTCGTTTATTGTTGCAAAAGCGGATCATTTTCAATTTTTAATCCTATCTCGATTTTTGTACGACTTCCCCGTCGCTTTAATTATTTAAGGCAAAAATATAGATTTACATCATAGCATTTGAACTGACTGTCTTTTATTGGAATTTGAATTTATTAACAAATTCAGTATATAGAGCAAAAGTTATAGCCAAGAAAAAAGAATCTTAAAAAGTGCATGGCTAAAAAGGCAGAAGAAAATGTTAATGATGATAATGATGGTCAGAATAAGCGAAAATTATTTTGTTTTTATTTGTTCATATCGTCATGAATTATTTTTTTTTACTAAAGTAATTAATAAAAAAGTGAATATATCGATATTTATTTTATTTTTCATCAAACTTGACTAAAAAGAATGCTATGCAAAATTTTTGTGGTCAAACTGATTGTAAGGATTGTAAAATTAAAAAAATAGAATTAATACAGACAGGTAATAAAAATTATTTATTAAATTATAAGCTAAGTAACGAAATGACATAACTGGGTCATCTCTGAAGTAGTTTATGATATAACTTAACTAAAATGATAAATTTGTAGATTCAAGAATTCCCTTTGATCATTAAAAAAACCAGTTTAAAGAAAGTAGACAATTTGAGTGGGTGTTACTGTTAAAGCAATCAAAATATCGAGTAGTAGTAGTAGTTAAGTAGTATAATGAAGAAAAAAAAAACATGATGATTATGCTTTAAACCAATTATTTACTTACCAATAAAAGGCGATTTTATCTCCCAATCCCCTTTCTATATGTCTGTCGAGCACGTTGTAACAAATATTGGTGCGAGCTCCTTCCATCCATTTGATGAAGATCGGGCCTTTTGTATAGTCGAAATTGTAATCAAAAAATTTGCCGCTTGGTTGGGATTCCCAATGAAAATCTTTGGCGATCTCTCCCCAAAATGCTTCGGGGTCGTTTATAGACTTATTATACATCTTTCGGTAATTATCCATGCCCTGGACATGAGCTGAATTTAGAAGGTCGTCTGGCGGTTGAAATAGCTTATTATTTGCAGCCTCCATCGTTTCGGTATTACAATTCGCCATAACGCTGTCGTTATGTGATTTTTGTTTTAAGAGGAAGAAAAGAAGAAGACAAAATACTTGGAAGAAAGAGCCTTCTTCTTCAGTGGCTCTCTTCTTTTTATTTCAGTCTTGTTAATCCACAAGTCGGTATATTTTCCCCTCTATTTCTTTTACACAAACCTTTTACCGGTTTTTTTAATTGTGATCACACCTTCCTCTTTGACAACAGAGTCCCTTTAAAAAAAAAAAAAAAAGAGAAAATACAGAATTTTTCAGTTAAGTAAGACCAAATAAATAATAACATAGGAAAAATTGATTTTGTGTACGTAAGAAGGCGAACCAAGGAGAATAAAGAAAGATTATAGACAGGAACAAAAACTCTTTCGTATTTTAATCACTAACCTGACTCTCACGTAAGGATTGCTTCATGTACATAAAAATTATGAACACACACCTCCAGACCGTTTACTGCTCAGCTCTCCTCAGTCACTGATTCAGCTATATTTAGAGATAGTAGTATGTATGAACAAAACGCACATGCACAAGCAGTAGGCACTTCTGTTCCTAGTGAATCTATTACTTAACAACTTCCGTTGTTTTTAATAAGCAGTGATACATACATATCTACTTACCTCCGGGGATGCAACAAAGAGATAACGAAAGAAAAAAAAAGGAGAACTTATGTGTTTAGTTAAATAAATAATAATCTGCTTATTATTATGACATTGGGATTTTTTTTTTAAATTTTAATTATATCTGAAGAGTGAAGACTTAAAGAGGTTAAATTTAAAAAAAATCATAAACAGTTTTTTAAAGAAACTTTCTCGCTTTCCTTTGTCGAAACGAACGTGGTAAAATACCGTACAATCCCTACAAGACTTATTATAGGAATTGTGTGCTCTTAGAGCCTAAGAGAAGTTGGCTGAATTTCCATGTTTTTTTGGTTTTTTTTTTTTTTTTCCCCACCTCAACTGATTTTATTCGCTACTCAACCTTGAACTTCAAAGTAGGGTTACCTAAGGTTAGTTTCGGGTTTAAAGGTGATTGTTTACAAGGAGCTAAATGAGGTAGAGAAGTTTTAAAATATTTTTTTTCTAGTAGAATAGATTTTTTTATTTTATATTTTTGGACAATTTCTCTTAGTGTTGTAATTAAATTTGGATTCAATTCAACACAAATTATAAATTATTCTACTACCTCATTCTCTTGCTTAACATTGGATTGTGTGAAAAAATGTGTATGACGATTTTTTCATGAATTTGAATACTTTTGTTTTTTCTTTAAAATAATTTTTTTTGTTGTTGCCAACTGAATTTGTGTAACTAAATAGTATTTTTAGCCCTTGAATGAAATCAGTGACCTTAAATATTTTTTTTCAATAAGTTAGAGGAGTAGAGAGAGTTCTTTATAACATTTTTTTGTATATTAGATATGAAAGTATTTTTGAAAGCAATCAATTGAACACAGTTGACAGAAGTACTAAGATCTCATAGTCGAAATTAACTACAAAATTTACGTTGAATAAAAATTAAAAAAAAGGGTATGAAAGCAAGAATCATTAACTTAACACTAGTTTCTTAAAAGTTCAATGAACATATGTGAAAAGTTAGTGAAGCAGAATAAATGACTTTCAGGCAGAAAAAGAAAAATGTCTGTCATAACATCCAATGGTGGACTAATAATAATTTAGCAGACTGGTGCAGTTAGTTGAATTTTGATCTGGAATATTCCCAGTGTATTCAATTTATGTTGTTAATGAAGAAGTGTTTGTTTGCGTGCATAGATCAGGAGGGAGATAACATTGAAGAATATTTACTCTGTAAAATAAATAACTTTCTTTTTTTACATCATTAGGTTACAGACCTATTGATATACCATTGTAGACTGCTTATCAAATAGTTGAGTACATGATTTGTATTATGAACCAAATTTATTATCAATCATATTATCTAATAAAATCATAAGTTACTGATTATGAAATTATAAATAGTCATTGGTTTCTATTTATAATGACAGTGTCTAGTGCTCTATTATGCCTCTGTCATTTCAATCCTGTATTTATGCAAAGCATTGATTCACTATTGTATACACCTGAGGCTGAAAGTTTTCATTACCACAGAAAAATACTAAAAATCCATTAGTCTTACAACATTCCACACTATGTTCTTCTTTAATGAATTCCCTCAAAGTATGTGGCAGCAATTATCCACAAGCATTGACAGTGTCTGGTAAGATTTGGGGATAATTGTTTGCCTAATAAAATATTCTATAGAGAACTTAAAAATGGTAAGCAGCTGTTACACAATCCAAAAAAATGTTTCAAAGATTCTTTATCAGATTGCTTTCTATTTGGTCTACATACTGAATAATGAGAAGTAAATACCCAAATATATATAGAGTGATGACAGGATCAATTTTTTTTTGAGGTGGGTGTTCTCACACCTTGAATCATCTGAATCATCAGCAGTCCCAAAGTAAAAAGTGAAACTAAAAACAGGATTTCTATTGACTCAGCTGTGATTCAATGGGTTTGTGGGGAATGTGGCCATGTTTGCTTATCACAACATGGGATTAAAAGTCTATTTGGAATCATGTTTAGGGACATCCTATTGAATATAAATGTTATAGTCAGTAAGAGAACATGATCTGTGCCACATCTGGTCTGGTGCTTCTGATATCTATCTAGAGATTTTTGACAAACTCCAAAGAAGAATCTGCAATGTTATCAGTTCTAACATAGCATCTCAGCTTCAATCACTTTCTACTACTGTAACTTCCCTACATCTTTTCTATAAATATTTTCATGCTAAATTTTTTCTGGTGAGCTCTTTTCTTTGGTATATTGACTTCATGAATGTAAGCACAGTACTAGATTGGCAGTTAGGTCTCGTCATTTTACTGTTGAAGTTTATAAGTGTAAGCCTAAATTCTATGCTAATGGTTTCTTCTTTTATACTTCTTACTTGTAGAACTCTCTTCCAGCTTGTGGCTCACCTGTCAATGATCTTCAAAAGTTTAAATGTAATTGTCGTCTTCCATCTTCTTGAATCCTGTTCTTTTTATTGTCCTTTCTCCCCACTAATCTTTTCTCAGTTTTCTTCACTCTCAGTAACACCTTGCAATTTACTGGCCTTATAACTTTGCTTGAGATGAAATGATTATGAAAAACAAAATAAAAACTTTGGGTCATAATCAAGTCTTGTCTCATCAGGCATGAGAAGTTACATAATATCCATAATGGAAACATGGGACAAACAAATTTTCAAAAATATTTTTTTTTGCCAGCAGTGTAATCAAGTTTTGAAAGCTTTTCTAGTTTTAAAAGTCATTGTTAGTGGAAAACTGGTTAGGATATTGCCTGATAACAAGTGGGGCCTCCTATATCAAATAAAAATGCAATAAAGAAACAAACACAGACAACTGTTTTAGTAATAAAATGAAATAAGAACTTTATAAAGTCATCTGCATACTATCAGTTACTCAAGTCCAATGTGAGAGGACATTTTCAAAAGTAAAGATAAAAAAGACAAGGTTAAGAAATTTGCTGAGGAGAATTTGGAATTGTACATGTTGCTATCCATTGAAAAGGAATTGTTAGATGCAGAAGCAATTATTGGCAGATTTGCACAATTATCCAGTGAACACAAATGTTTGCTCTTAATATAATGGAATGCATGTAATGCTCTTTTGTGCTTTTGAAATATCTGTTAATGTGTAAATTGTGCAGTAAACTAATTAAAAGTATCAACCAATTAAAATAAAAATTTCAGTTATAATATCCTGTATTTTCCTTTGGCAACAACTGTCAGTATATGTACACTGTAATTGCTAAGAAATATATATTTTTTCATATGTATATTTTTGAAAATTTTATTTATTTGTTATGAAAATTAAATGATAGCATTGTAGTTGTGGGATGACCCCCTTTGTCTCTTGGCAACCAATATTTTTAGACCCGGTCCATCACTGGCCATTGCAGAGCCCAAGAGAGCAGGCAACAACAACAGATATACATAGATATATAGTGCAGAGTTAGCTATACTCATAACTGAATGCACAAATCCCTATATAAGCATTGCGTTATATTAAATAAAAATGTTTGTTTATATAAAACATTATTAAATAAAGAACAAGTATGAAAACATTTATAAATTTAACATGTTTCCCTATTCATTTAATTTGATCAGGGAGCTTTGAAATTTGAAATATTTGATATATTACCTTAGCAGCGTTTTATTTAGGAGTTACTGTGAGGTTACATGGCCACTCAAACAGAATGTGGCACAAAGCTGGGATTAAAGTGGGAGTCCCACATGTAGATGGGACTAGGGACAGAAATTACTCATTTCCCTCAGCATTTCCTTTTTTTTTGAAAAGCTTCAGGTATCAAGGATTAACCCTAACCACTTCACAAAGGAGAGGGGTACTGCCTGGAGGTGGTCCTCTGGGGCTTATGTTTTCTGTTCTCTAGGCAAGGGGTTATAGTGAGATGCATATTTGTTTTTTGAAGCAATCATTTATAATTAATTCATTTTCTATAGTTCAATATTTTTAAAGTCCTCATTTATGAATAAACTTAGGGCATCTCATAAGAAGACCTGTGTTCAAATCATTCAAAAATCAAAGAATATTGTAAAAAGGAAACTAAAGCATTCAAATTTTGAAAAACTTGCTAGACTTTTGTCTTTTTTTAAGCCCAACTTGTAACTGAATTTCAAAGGCTGTTTCTCTTTATTGCTTCCTTACCTGTTTTGACCTTATTAAAAGAGACAAGAGCCATGGCATTATCAGATTTCATCCACAGCTGAAGTAAGTGGATTTTATAATATAAAGAGTTAATCATTAAATCAGTCTTTGGCAGTTGAAACTTTTAAAAATTTATTATTGAGTTTAACTAGGAATTTATTTGAGAGAACTGAAAGTAAGCTTTGATGTATGGGTGTGTCAAATTTGGTTTCTTAAATGTCACTGGATGTATGAGGAGATATTTTTTTCTCTAGTATTAACTATCAGCATTTTTT